TGAGATACAAAAAATGGGTTGCCAGAAGGGTTTCAAGGAATTTGACAAATGATCCGTTTTCTGAGATTCACACAGTGAGTCAGGACTGAAAACCAGGTTTTCCAATTCCTGGTCCAGGCTCTTCTCACCACATTACAGCGCTGCCACCCCAAGTGCTAGGTTTTCCCAAGAGGTGTTTGGATGGGATTCCAAGCCAGCAAGATGCAAATAGGTCTGACCCACATTCCAGCTCTTGGATAAATAAAAACTCCTAAAGGGCTGACCCATTTTGTATGCTTACTGTGAGAGCCCCACTGTGCGTAGTCAATCAAGGACCAACGGCATAGGCTCAGTTTTAGCAATTAAAATATTGGGGCTATTACTGAGGAACCTCATAAAGGTGCTGAAAGGCTGTATCAAGTATTCATAAACTTTTAAGAGTTAATACAACTTTGAAGTCATCTAGGCTAACTCTAATTTTATAATTGAGATCCGAGGTAAAATAATGTGCATAAAGGTCTGATGCTGGCCAGCAACAGACTCTCTCCCGCATTATGTCATATGGCATTGTCATATTGCATTTTCAGGAATGAAACACGTTGTAAGCTGAAGTCCAACTACAACTAGCCGAGTTGGACTGGCTGGTTATGGCGTCATCACTGACTATGACACCTCTCTCAGATTGAACTTTTGGTATCCCTCCCACACCCAGTCCCCCCCACCCCCTGATCACATTGACCTCTAAGAAATCCCCATTGCTGGCTTTTAAGAACCAAGTTGGTTATCACTTCTGAATGAGCCTCTAGTTAATTTAGGCCTCCTCACCTTTTCTTACAGCATTTCCACCTATCTTGGAGCCCTCTAAACTCTACTATTCTCGATAGCTCCCTTCCTCTGAGAAGGGAGGAGGCCTCTTTGATTAGTTTTTCCCATTTTTGCTTATTTTTATTTGCACAGTACTATGTCCAATTTGTTCTCTCCAATCAGTAAAAAAGTTTCATTTATTGTCTTTATTTCTTATATCCCCCCTAAAGGACAAGATCAATTATGTCTACGTGTTTTTATTTTTTATGGTAACTAGGACAAAGCTGTGCTCCAATGAACATTAAATACAGTTAAAATAGCAAATTATGTTAATTAATTTTGCTATGAAAGGCAGACTTCACTCTTGTTAGAAAATGAAATAAAAATAACTTTTATCGGCCAGGCGTGGTGGCTTGTGCCTGTACTCCTAACATTCTAGGAAGATGAAGCGGGCGGACTGCCTGAGCTCACAGGAGGAGACCAGCCTGAGCAAGTGCGAGATCCTGCCTCTGAAGAATAGCCAGGTGTTGTGGTGGGCACCTGTAGTCCCAGCTACTTGAGAGGCTGAGACAAGAGAATTGCTTGAGCCCCAGAGTTTGAGGTTGCTGTGAGCTGTGATACCACATCACTCTACCAAGGGGGACAAAAACAAAAAACAACAACAAAAAAACCCCCAACATTTATCTTGCCAGGTTATTCTGATTTCTCAAAGACTAACTAGTGAGTTATATGGACAAGTTAGCCTATGAAAAAACTAAGTGGTGGATACTCTATCAAAATATTTGCCCAGTGTTATAATATCTTTATTACTCATTCAAATCAACTAGGAAGCTTTGAAAACTACTAATACCTAGACCTCATCACAGATCAACTGAATCAGAATCTTTGCAGGTATGCCCAACAATTTGCATATATCACATTGCTATTTGATTTGCATATACTGATTTTCTCATCTCCACTCTTAACAGATTTTTCTAAAGAATGAGCATATTCAAATGTGGTTTTGTTCTTAGAATCACAAAATTTTAGAACTGACAGAGAACTAAAATATTACCTGGAACCATCGCTTGGTTTTATAGGTGAGGACACTGTAGTTTTAAGAGAGGTTGAGTGATTGGTGTCACATAGTGAAGTGCTGGCTGCTGAGTGACAAGTCATTTCTTAAATAAATGGAATTTTCTGAACTCCAATTCTGGATCTGTAGCTATGAGAGTGAGCTGTTTAGGTTCTGCTTTCTTCTAGAGAAAATGTATTGAAAGAATCACTCCTGGAAGAGCTGAATTTGAAAAGCTGTCCAGGTACTCCTTAAAGACCTTCAATCTGGCACATTCCAACTAGCTCATTGTTATGGCAAGAGGAAATGCCACAGCAGGATATATCAAAGTCCAAAATAAATTATTAGTATCTATCTGCAGGCTTTTTCATTGGCCCTAACCTAAAGTCCTTATCATTTTATGTTATCAGACCCCAAGGCACTTCTAGCCCTTAATTATACCACTTATTAGAAGACTTATTTGATTAGTAATCAATACCCTGAACTTTCCTTTTCTCTGTAAAAAAGATGATAGTGCCTATCCTATTGACCTTGCATTTTTGAGCTATCATAAAGATTACATTGGAAAATCCATGTGGATATATTTTGAGAATAGTAAAGCACTACCCATCTGTATGCATACGGTTATTGTATTACTGTCTCTTAGAGCAATGACTTGGGGCTAAATATTTATTGCCTTGATTACTCAAGCTCAAATCCTAATTCCTTGGTCCCATGTCACCCAAGAATCAATAGGAACCGTAATCAGAGTCCCGAGTCATTGGAAGTATCTCATAAGTAATATTCAGGGAAGCAAAGTGATGTAGCGACCCAGGACTCAGCTAGTCTAGGCTCTTATCCCAGAGTCTGCTTTGAACTATTGACTTTGGACCAGTCACTTAATTTTTCTGGGACCAGAGTCTCGTCAGTGGTCAAAGGATGACTTGAATTATAGTCAAAGATCCTTTTGATTTATAAATCAGAATACTAACACTTACCTAAAATGACTAAAATACAATCCCCCAAGCTGTTAATTCATGTGGCTTTACATTTTTTGAACCTCTTTTAGAAGTACAGGGCTAGAACTCCAAAATAGCCTATTTCTGAGAAATAAAGATTTCAAAGACGTGTGTAAGGTCTTAAGACCCTCTTTAAGAGAAACACCTCTATTCAAGATATTTTATGTTTGCTAATATCCTCTACAGGATACCCTTGCTCCAAAAAATAAATATATGTGTTACCAAAAAAGCATTTAAGATTGTACTGGACACAGAGTAGGTACCCAAATACTTTGTTAACAGCTCCCAGTTTGAATCCTAGTTCCATTACTTAACTCATCTGAACCTGTTATCTATAAAGTGGGCACAATACCTTCCCCCATGATCCACTGATGTAATGCATATTAAAAAGTTTTGTAAACTTTTAAAAACACAAGATGTTACTATTACTTTAGGAATATAGCTAACTGTTCCATGACTTTCCAAAAAGTGTGCATTTTTGAGAAATGGCCTAAAAGCATTCTGCTGTGATTTATTACAGACACAGCACCTACCCCAATACCTGGCTCAACATATACACTCAGTAAATGTTTGCTGCATGGAAAATATAATCCACAGAAACATCAAAAGCTCCATAAACTCAGGTTCCACCTTTGTTTCTATCTCCAAGTTCCCAGGGTCCAGCAGAATATCTAGCACAACATAGGAGAAACTCAATTATTAGATGGACCTATTTTTGCCCCCTCTAGTTCCTTTTTAGCACAGTTCAAAAGGCAGAGACTGTGAGGGGAGGAAGGCTTCAAAAATGATAACCAGTAAAGGTTGTTTGGAGTGAGAAACTGCAAGTAATGCAGAGAATTCATCCACTCTATCAAAAACGCCTGGGAGAGCAGAAAGAGTTCAGTCCTTGAGTTCAAAGTCCGTTTCTAAAATCTGCAATTTTGATACATCAAACCATTAACCTCTCCAAGACTCAGTTTCTTCATCTTAAAATGAGAATAACAGTAGAATGGAAGTTCTATAAACGTAAGGACTTCCTTTGGGGCCCATCGTATCGACACTGCATTGAACAGGTTCTCAAATATTTGTTGAATGAATTCGTGAAAAACGGTCAAGTATGGAACAGTGCCTGGCACGCAGTGAACAATTAGAAAACGCGAGCCTCTCTCATGATTACCACCACCCCACCTCCACTATTGTGGCAGTGTTATTAATATGACATTTTCTGGTGGTTATGGAGCAGCTGCCTTTGGAGAAGGGCCTGCTTTCAAATCTCGACTTCCCCATTTACTGGCTATGTGACTTAAAATAAATTACTTAAACTCTTCGGGTTCCTTTGGGTTCCGCAAAAATCCGTGTTGTGAGAATCAGAGGCTATCTGGAAACCACTTAACACAAGAGGAAACCCGTCGGCACGAAGTGTATGGTAGAGATAAGTATTAAGGCAAAAATTCGCCGACTCCCCTCTTGTCCAGATGACTGCCTTCAATTTCCCACATTACTGTAGCTGGATACAAGACAAAACTGCAAACAAGGGTGGAAGCAAAGAATTTCAGAGACCGAAACCGCTAAACGAGAAAAGAGGGGATTAAACTGGGGCTTGACAGTTCCCACCAAGGGGTGACAGTTTCTGCGATCGTCAGCGGGTCCAACCAGCAAACGCTGAAGCAGCACACTCCGCGCCGTAAGGAACAAAACCCAGGGAGAGGCTTAGACCCTCCCCATAACGGTCTCTCCTTCGCTGGCCTCAGGGGCGGCCGGACTCGCGTTTCCGGCCCTCGCAGGACCACAATTCCCAGCATGCCCTTGGAGGGAAGTCGCTCCCGCAGGATAACTACTAATCCCAGCATGCCACTCGGCACCCCAGTAGATCAAATGGAAGAGTGGGATGACCCCGTTGCATGCAGGGAATGGTAGTCCATTTAGCGGAAGGTTCGCAGATGGGCGGGGAAGACCCGGGTTGCTCGAGTCCGCTGAGGAGAATGATTCATAGAGCAGGGTCTGGAGAGAAGAACCGTTCTGTCAGTGAAAGCCCACTCAAAAGACTGGGCTCTTCTGGCGGGAAAGAAGAGCAAGCAGTGTCCCGGGCCTGACCCCGCCTCGGGCCGCCCTCCAGGCCTTGAGCCAGTCCTGGGCCTTGTCGAGGGCAGCCTCGAGGCGCCGGTTGCTGGGGGAGCGGTGACGTCGCGGGGTGAAAGTTGAGGGGCGGTGACGTCGGGCCTGCCCGGGCGGAGGCTGGCGGGTTGGAGGCAGGAGGGAGGGAGGGAAGGAGGGAAGGAAGGAAGCTGGGAAGGAGCGAGCGAGCGGGGGCGCGAGGCGTTTACCTGGAGGCAGCGGCTTGGGCGCGCAGAGCGGCCGCGGCTCCCCCGCACCTGCGGCCATGGATGAGGAGCGCGCACTCTACATCGTGCGGGCCGGCGAAGCGGGGGCTATCGAGCGGGTCCTGAGGGATTACAGCGACAAGGTAAAGAGTCCTGGCCCCGGGCGTGCGGCATCGCACCCCCGGGCCGCCCTCCGTGTTTGCACATCGCATCCTTCCCCACCCCCTTCATTCCGGGGATGCGCATTACTCTCCCCAGAAAACGTTTCCGGCTTGGGCATGCGTGTTTATGCCCCCAGCCTTTTCCATCTCTGCATCCTGCATCCCCCTGCCCCCACTCTAGCGCCCACTCCTCTGATTCCTGGCCCCGCAGCCTGTCCTGCTTGTCCTCTCCCGAGCGTGCAAGTCACACCCCCGGAATTCATAGATGTGGTCTGTGCCCTGTGCCCCGTGCTCCACTCTTGGATGTGTAAATGCACGCGAGGCTTCCTCACCTGGATAGCTTAAAAATACTGGCTTCTCGCGTAAATCCATCCTTTGACATGCAGAAAATATACCAGCAATGATGGCAGTTGTTTATATGCCTACAGCACCGTGCAATTTTCAAGGTGTTGATGTCTTATATATGGTCTTATTTGATCCTCAGAGTGTTTCTAGGGTAGATGGTATTCTCCCCATTTTACAGATGAGGAAACCGAGGTGCAAAGAGCTGAAATCACGCCCAAGGTCATGGACATATTATTTCGTAAATGGTTGGAGAATCGAGCTCTTAACACTACCTGTTATTTATGTCGCATTAACAGCTTTCCTATCCATTATCTCATTTAATCTTGACAGCAGTCCAGTGAGGTATTGTCTGCATTTTGCAACTGGGACTGTAGGTTGTAACTTGCCCAAGGTCACACTTGGAACAGACATTCCAACCTAGGTCTTCAAACTATCCATTTATTGTTCTTTCTACTTTGCAACTCTGCCATAAAATATTAAGTTGTTATTAATCCCAGCAACTTCTCTGAATCTCTTTCCAAGAACCGTTAGCTCTTCATTACTTTTCCTTCCAGGAATTTTACGTGCTCACTTCAAAAGGTAGCATACCACACCTTTGTTCTTTGGTTTAGAAGGCTACTTTATAGGAATGACTGACTACTCCCTTCTGTGAGAACACACCCAACACCAAGTCACAGCCTGGATGAAACATCTGTCTTCCTTTCATTTGCCTCGGTTATAGTTTCCCGTACTGTGTTTGCTATGTGCCTGCTACTGTATTCATACATTTTTGTATTACTGAACTGTCAGTATGCCATTTCCACCCTGGGTGGAAAAGATTAAACAATAAGAAACAATCCTTTCAAAAAGAGCAGTTTCTGTTGAAAAAAAAAAAGACACAATTCTTGTTTATGAAGAGCCTTCATTACCATTTAATCTTCCCAACCCTGTGAGGAGAGTGGTGGTATACCTTATTTTACAAGTGCAAAAATTTAAGATGATAATGTAGTCCCAAAATCACAGTGCTCTTTCTACCATTGTTATGCTGCTTTCTTTGGGAGGATGCACAGGTTCCATTCTGTTCATATCCTAGCTCTTTCACTTTCTGATATGACTGAACACCTGCCTAATTTACGGAAACTCATTTAATGCATAGGTGTACATATTGTGGAGATTATAATCATTTAACCTTATTTGTTAGTACTACTTTCCAGAAAAAGTCTGAGGCACCTACAGACTGATTTTCTTTTTCTTTTTTTTTTTTTTTTTGAGACAGAGCCTCAAGCTGTCCCCCTGGGTGGAGTGCCGTAGCATTACAGCTCACAGCAACCTCCAACTCCTGGGCTCAAGCGAGTCTCATGCCTCCACCTCCCAAGTAGCTGGGACCACAGGCGCCCACCACAATGCCCAGCTATTTTTTTTTTTTTGGTTGCAGCCATCGTTGTTTCGCGGGTCCGGGCTGGGGATTCGAACCCGCCACCTTAGTTGTACGTGGCTGGCGCCCTAGCCAGTTGAGCTATAGGCTCTGAGCCCAGACTGATTTTCAAAAGAAAGAAATACAGCAGAGAATTTGGCCTTTGTGCTGAATCAACTAATTTTATTTAGCATTTATTTTATGCTGGATACCCAGCAATAAATAGGAAATTTTTTTCTATAGGGAAGGAAGAAAGAGATCCTCCTCCAACTGAATCTTATCACCTTCTTCAATATTTCTCTTTCCTTTCGTGGCTAAATTAATTAGACTTCAGATTTACTTCTTCCAATTTATCTCTTCTTGATCTCCCTCCAGATTGGTTTCCACTTAATCACTCTTGGCCAAGTGCTGTCAGAGTTTAAATCCTGGACATCTCCAGCTTCCCTTTTCATAATGGGAATGTTTTTAAAGTTGTTATGCCCACTGTGTATTGTTTAAGGTAATATTCTGAAGTGCTTCAGGAGATTCCCAAATACTTGTAATTTGGGGGCCAAGCCTGAGAGAGTACTCAAGCTTGATTATGGGTAGAATCAGCCCATAATCAGTTAGCTCTTTTAGAAGAAAGCTTGTGTATTTAATGCTGATTATAATACAGTAAAAATAGCTGTGCTTCATGTTGCAGTGAGGATTTGCCCCTCAAAGGGAGAGATTTTAGAGGCAAATGAAGGGGAAGTATGATCATAGTAGTCAGGGAATAACAGTGGGAAGGTGGAATTAAATTGCCCAGCTCTATAGTATATGGAATCCGAAACCTTGAAGAAGGAGCTAGATACCATGTATGTTAATTTCTTTATCTGTAAAAATGGATTTGAGAAATGTTTGGAGTAACAGATGATTGTAAGGCATTGAGGAGTCCAACCAAGAGAGAAATGAATAATGTAGAGTAATTGAGTCATTGTTGGGGAGAGAAGCGAGGAAGTTCTTTATGCTGTTGTTTCTCTAATAAAGTCAGTCTTTGGAGGAGACAGTCAAGTATAGGGGAAAGGTGAGATTTGGCATCAAATAAACCTTGGTTCAAATTCTGACTCTGCCATTAATATTAGCTTCATAACTATGGATAAGTTATTTGAAGCCTCTGAATCTTATTTGCTTTATCTGTAAAATAGGAATAATATCACCATTCTCCTGACTTAAGTTATTGTGAGGATTAAATTAAATGGACTATAGGCAGTACCTGAGTTACAAGCACCTGACTTACACACAACTGACTCTTATGAATGGAGGCTATTACACATAGCAGGTCCCTGAGTTACAAACATCTGGCTGACATACAACTTGCAGTTAGGAATTGAGGCTATTATAGGTAATAGGTAAATGTACTTGCCCTAACTTACATACAAATTTAACTTAAAAACAAGCCTACTAAGAACTGCCTATATAGTGCCAAACACTGAGTGCAGTACACCTAGGAGGTGCTCAGTAGGTTACAATTGTAATGACTGCGGTGCTCAAAAGGTCAAGAGGACTATAGTCTGGTCAAATGCCAGACTGTCTGGACTCTGATCCTCAGCTGAAGGCTTTGTGTGGCCTAGGACAGTTAACTTTGCTGTGGCTTAGTTTCCTCATCTGCCAAACGGGAAAAATAATAGTACCAATATCATAGGGTTCTTGTCAGGATTAAATGAGGGACATGTGTAAAGCACTTAGAATAGTGCCTGCCGTTGAGAAAGCAGCCCATAACTGTCAGCTTTGAACAAAAAAAGCAAGAATTAGACATGTGCCACTGAATTAACATATCACAATATGAAAATTGAGAATGGAATATGCTTCATTCTTTCTCTTTCTTTTTCTAATATGTATAGAATACCTTGTATCATGTTCAGAGCAATAGTTAATTCTCTAGCTCTAGGAAACAACATCTAATTTCTACTGTGTTATGGACTCTGATTTCCAAGCCTTCTTGCTTCATTCACTGACCCTTGTTATCTTGGGGAGAGGGAAAATCTGTCTCTTGCAGAAAGAACAAAATTTGTCTGTTAAGGGCATAATACAGGTCGACTCAGCATAACAAAGTATTTTTAAAAATAAGAAGAGAGGTGGTTTTTCCCTCCTCACAATTCACCTGTTAACATTTACTGAGTGCCTGCTATATATCATGTATTATCCATAGCACTTTCACAATTTATCACATATAATCCTCTTATATTAAAACTTACGAGGGAGATGGAAATACTCTATATATAGGTCAAGGACACAGGTAGGAAGTGGCAGACCTGGTCTTCAGATTCCATATCCAGGACTCTCTTTGCAGTGCCATGTTTCCTTTCTGTTTTTGAGCATAGAGAAAGCTTTTTCAGGAATAGTACACTACAGTTATCCTTCTTTCTTTTTGAAACAGAGCCTCAAGCTGTGGCCCTGGGTAGAGTGCTGTGGCATCACAGCTCACAGCAACCTCCAGTTATCCTTCATTATCCGTGCAGCCTTGCGTGGATACCAAAACCTGCAGGTGCTCAATTCCCTGACATAAAATGGCATAGAATTTGCATATACTTTAAATCATCTCTAGATTACTTACAATACCTAATATAATGTAAATGCCATATAAAGAGTTATACTGTATTATTTAGGAAATAATGACTAGAAAAAATCTGCACTTGTTCAGTACAGACCATTTTTTTCCCCATACATTTTCAGTCCATGGTTGATTGCATCCACAGAAGTGGATAGACCTCACAGACACAGATATGGAAGGCCGCCTGTACTTCCTTTGGCCTCTGTCAGGCCCTGATCACCTCCACTTTAGTTATAGAATGAGCTATTTGGGAAAGCATGTATCATTTTGGTCTAGACTGTCCAAGCTCTTGCTTTTCCTGTAGGGCCTGTTCTGGTAACAGATTTAGTAGAGAGTTAAGTTGTTGGTAATTATCATGATAATCAATAAACAGTGACCAAGGACCCTGAGGTATACAGTAATACTGTGATTCCTTGAATCAGCATATTTAGACTAAACAGAAGATCACTGAATGATACCCCCTTATTTTAATTGGTGAAGAAGCCAGGGCCTGGGCTCATCAACTGTGACAACTAGAGAGGTGGCTTGTAGGCCATAGGGGCTACCTGACCATATGACTACAGCAGAGCAAGGTCCAAGAGGATTCCATTTTGGAAGTATGGCATGTTTACAAGTTATTTGAGATACTAAGGTACAGGCAAATAGGAAGGTCTCCAAGAGTAGTCCTTGTAGGAGAAGAAAACCATATTGGTGGCAGTGAGGGTTTCAATTTATGTGCTAGAAGAATCTGATTGATAGAGACCTAATATTGAGACAGTTTTATAAATACAGCCTCTATATTTGAATAGGGTTTATAAATATCCCAGCCCATGTAAGAGGACTTCATGCTTTCCTGAGGCTGAGCTCTGACTTTTTGCAGAGGCGCATGGTTAGTGGGCTGTTGTTTGTTATACCTTGTTCTTATTTCCACATTGGGTTATATAATATTACTGGTTTTTAATTCTAGAAGTAGTCTCTATTCATGAAACACAGCAAAACACACACCACCCCAATTGGGTTTATTCCCTTTTATTAGTGCTGTTTAAGTATATCTTTAGAAATCTGTAAAATAACTCCTAGTTCTCTAATCGTCAGTATTTAAATGGCCAGGTACCACACCACTGGCTTTGTAAAAACAACGGTAGTGGCCATAGAATGCCTACTATATGCAAGGTGCCATCCATAAAGATAAGGAAAATCTGATGGGTAGTAAAGGGGAGTAACTTGACAAAGATTACACTTTGAGTAAGCAGTGAGACTGGATTCTAACTCAAGGTTGTCTAGCTCGCCTGAGCCTGAGCTTTTTAGAACCTAGTCATAGGATATAAAACCTATGGTGAGAATCCGCATAATGAATCTGGTGTGTCAGTAAGCTGGTGTGGCTTGCATGGTCTCTAAATTGAACAATTTATATTTGACTTTTTTTCCCATTTCTTTGAAAATTAAGCATATAAAGAAGGTAAGGTGGAAGTTGACTGTTGGCCAACAGTTCTTTACGGGCATTTACAGCCAGAAATGCTAGTTCTCCTTCCCTCTTTCAGCCTTAGAAAGGAAAGTGAATAAGGCAGGGGTCCTCAAACTTTTTAAACAGGGGGCCAGTTCACTGTCCCTTAGACCGTTGGAGGGCTACACTGTGGGCCCCGGGACAAGTCGGCTGCTAAGCAGGACAGGCAGTAGTGGCAAAAACACCCGGGGGGGGGGAGGCTGGATAAATGTCCTCGGTGGGCCACATGTGGCTCGTGTGCCATTTGAGGACGCCTAGAGTAAGGGTTAAGAGTACTGAATAGGTTAGGTATGATCTATGATCTAAGTTGGATAAAGGAAGCCAGCCTTATAGAAGCCAACATCTGTTGGATCTAAGCAGTCTTAGAGGGTTGAGCTTCTGAATAGATGGGCATATTCAGAAATAAATTTGTAGTGCCTGACATGCCAGTATATTTTCTCATTAAGCGCTCATGCTAGTTCTAGACTGGGCTTTTTTTTTTTTTGAGACAGAGCCTCAAGCTGTCACCCTGGGTAGAGTGCTGTGGCATCACAGCTCACAGCAACCTCCAACTCCTGGGCTCAAGTGAGTCTCCTGCCTCTGCCTCCCAAGTAGCTAGGACCACAGGCGCCCGCCACAACGCCCGGCTATTTTTTTTGGTTGCAGCCGTCATTGTTGTTTGGCAGCCCTGGCTGGATTTGAACCCGCCACCTTAGGTGTATGTGGCTGGCACCTTAGCCGCTTGAGCCACAGGCGCCGAGCCTAGACTGGGCTTTTTGAAGCTTCTTCTTTTTCAGATGTTTTGTTTTTATGACAATCTTGCATTTAAAAAGCAGTAGAAAAATGAGAACTTTGTACTATTCTAAATTCTCACCTTAAGAGATTAATTCTACACAGGAAATGTTTAAAAGACATTTTTGTAATTTAATGCTTATCTTTCCAAAAGAGAATTTTTTTCTATTCCCTTACCATAAATGTCAAAAAATGTCTATAAGATACTATATTAACAACTAGGTACATTTATTCCCAATAATTTATGGAATTAATATTTTACATATAAAAATGGCCAAAAATAGGCTTTCTTGATTTCTTAGTACTGTTATTTTCATTTGCATTGTAACTTTACTGAGCTTATACCTTTACTGAGTTTATACCTTTAGCCGAATGTTTGGTGTGTACCTTTCTCTTTAATGTTACTTTTTACTAACTTTGGGTCTGTAAATTTTTCTGAGACAGCCTCACTTGTCACACTTAATAGAGTGCTGTAGCGTCATAGCTCACAGCAACCTCAAACTCTTGGTCGTAATGATTCTCTTGCCTCAGCCTCCTAAGTAGCTGGGACTACAGGCGCCCACCACACACCTGGCTATTTTTATAGATGGGGGTCTCGCTCTGGTTCAGGCTGGTCTCAAAACTCCTGAGCTCAAGCAGTCTACCTGCCTCGGCCTCCCAGAGTGCTAGGATTACAGGTGTGAGCCACTGTGCCCATCCCCATGGATCTGTAAATTCTTTTTTTTTTTTTTTTAAGACAGAATCTCACTTTGTTGTCCTTGGTAGAGTACCATTGCATCTTAGCTCACAGCAACCTCAAACTCTTAGGCTCAAGCGAGCCTCTTGCCTCAGTTTTTCATTTTTAGTAGAGATGGAGGTCTCACTCTTACTCAGGCTGGTCTCGAACTCCTGAGTTAAAGCGATCCACCTACCTCTGCCTCCCAGAGTGCTAGGATTACAGGAGTGAGCAACTGTGCCCTGCAGGGTCTGTAAATTCTTAAGTATACCCCTCAGAGGCATAGCTTGTTCTTTCTTCCTTTGTTCATTGTTCATTCATTTATACATTTTTTATTTGAGATGGGATCTTGCTCTGTCACTCAGGCTAAAGTGCTGTGGCATCATCATAGCTTACAGTAACCTCAAACAACTCCTGGGCTCAAGAGATCCTTATGCCTCAGCTTCATGAGCTGGGTCTACAGCTGTGTGCCACCATGCTTAGCTAATTTTTCTATTTTTTTTTTTTTTTTGTAAAGACAGTCTCGCTCTTGCTTAGTCTGATCTCCTAGCCTCAAGCAGTCCTCCTCCTTCAGCCTCCCAGAGTGCTAGGATTATAGGCATTAGCCACCATGCCATAAAATAAAAATTTTATTTTTTAAATTTTCCTTTTATTATAAAAATAATATACCAACAGTCTTTTTAAAAAATTGCTATATAATCTGTCAAGTGGATATATATTTAATAGAAGATTGTTACATGCACAGCCATTCATCACTCTCCTGTTTTGGGATATTCAGGTTGTCTCCTCTTTTCTTCCACAACATTAGATATCACTGCAGTAAATATAATGACATATACATTTTTTCCTCCTTCTGGATGACCATTAGGATGAATTCCTAGGAGTAGGAGTTCTAGGTTAGGGTTAGGGTCAAAGAGTATGAATATTTTTACAGCTTCTATTATGTGTTGCCAAATTGCTTTCCCATTTAAGGTTTGTGTCAGTTAATACTGCCACCAACACTATCATGCCTGGGTTTGATGCCCATTCCTAGCAGGGCCTTATGTCCTTAGTCTTGTTCTCCTGTGATAGGACCTATGAGCTACTGCCGAAAATATTCTTTCAGAATGCTGTTCACACCTCCTTCATAGTCTTTCCCTCTGATTACCATCACCTATCTGCTTATTCAAGTATAGATTTTTAATCTATGCTCTTACCACCTGATTTCATCCATTTTAATTGTTTTGCATCTACATTTGAGTTAGCTTCCCTTAGGTTTCCTCAAATGGCCCTTATCTTTTATCATTTCTTACATTCAGAACTGCTTCTCTGCCAACATTTCTCCCATCTCATTTAATTTCAAATATTGTTGCTTCTACTAAGCTGTCAACATAGAACCACGTCGTGTAATGATATCCTAAGTACTTAGTGTACTTAACTCCTGGTGTGTTGCTAATAAACGTTTGTTTGTGTGGCCAATGAGAGAAATACAAAGGAAAATTTAGTGTAGATTTTTGTTGTTTACTGGAGTTTTTTTTTTAAGGAAGGCTTAGGATTCTTAAGAGCACTTGCTTCTCCTAAATGAGGAGGGAGAATGAGGAATTCCGTGCTCTTTTTTTTTTTTTTTATCTTCCATTTTCCTCTACTTCAGCTATATTGGAAAGTACAGAGCTGCCAATCACTTCAGGAGAGTCATAACACTCAGTCTTCCCTTCCATTTACTTTTCCTCAATGCCATTGTCATCATCATCATTGTAACCATAATATGTACTGAGTAGTATGTACAGAGATGGTGCTTCATATGCCTGTTTTTTAACTCTTACCCTGTGACTTAGGTGCCCCCTGTTTTGAGATGAGAAGCCCAGTTATAGAGAGTTTACTTGCTTAAGGGGACATAGCTAGTAAGTGGTAGAGCCATGATTTAAATTCTTGTTCTTACAGAATTTTCTAAAATACCATGCTATCAAGTCTCTACTTTAGCTACAATTCTCTGATGATTTCTTACTAAATATGAAAAACAAAGTATAAACTCCTCAGCAGCATTGGAAGGCCCTTCCTAATCTCTGTCCAATCTACTTTTCCATCCTCATCTTCCATACCTCCATCCCCAAATATATGTTCTGTGTTCCAGTCTCACAGAGCTGCTTATTTCACAAATATGTCATAAATTTTGCACATGTGAGCCTCTGTTTTGTCCATAGAATGCATTCCACTTGCCTCTTGGCAAACTCCTGTTCATTCCTCCAGGTCCAGGCTAAATGCTCTATACGCTATGTAAACCATTTCAGATTTTCCTGGGCAGCTAGTGGCTTGGTTCTCTATTCTCCTTTGTGTATATTTCTGCTATAGTCTTTTCATACTACTAATTATTTGCTTATATGTCTGTCTTTTTTACTTTAACAAGTATATTAAGATATGAGACAGCAACATTTCTACTGAGACATTATTTCTTGCATTTTAAAACGTAGCCAAAATTTAAAATCTGTGTATTTAAAATGACATTGTTTCCCTTCTTTCCTCTCTCAGCATAGGGCTACTTTCAAATTTGAATCAACAGATGAAGATAAAAGAAAGGTAAGCCGTGGTGTTATTCTGTGTGTGTGTGTGTGTGTGTGTATTCGTGGACTTTCTAAGTGGTGGTCTTGTTTTCATATAACGGTTGTTGGTTGGTTTTTGTTTTTCCTTCAGTTTGTTTTTTTAGGAATCTTGAGAACAGAGACAGGAGCTAGGTTTCATATGGGTTACACTAACTTTCCTGCTCCATCCCCATAGGATCATTCAACTTACATAAATCAGGAACATGGGAAGGGTTCAGAAGTGCTCTCTGCCCAGATCTTACTCATAAAGATTGACTTCATTTGGCAATAGGACTCCAGGTTTCCCAAAATACAGCTTAGCCAGGGTAGGTTAACTTTTGGGAAAGCAGCTATTCCTGGTGCTGCTCCTCAAACACAGTTCCTTCCCCATGCTGGCAGTTATTTATATAGTTAGCTGTTGTCTAGGTCACTGGCTTCATGGGCATGGAGAAAAATGGAAGTCAGGAGACTCATCAATAGAGGAGGAGTTATAAAAGAGGGTGTGTCAGAAATAAGACTCTGTAATGTTACTCTTGCCTGTTGGGTTTGCCTGTGGTTGCTTTACTTAGTTGATTAAAACATGACATTAATGAGGATAAACTCACTTCTGCTTTTGTGTTTTGCTGGACTCAATACATCTATTCCTAACCTCACAAATGCCAAAACCAGATAAGAGAATATAACTAAATCAGTGTAAATCTATTACTGCTGCTGGAAAAATAGCTTAAATCTAATGCTTTGCTGGTAGTGGGTTGATGACACATTGAAATATTTCCTCTGTTCACCTCTATCCCCACATCTAATGTCTATGTCTTGCTAATTTTATATCTTAAGATTTCTTCTATTTATTTTCTCCTTAATCACTGTCCTAATTCAACTCTTTATCTAGATTACTGCATTGGTTCCTAACTGTTCTTTCATTTTCCACTTATATGCTTTTCTAGTTGATTGTCATCCATATTTCTAAAATAGCAACCTGGCCATGTCATCCTTCAGTGACTTTCTTGGCCTGCTGAATAAAGTTCAAGCTTCTTAACATAACATACTAGGTGCTCGGTATTCAGATCTTTGCCCTTTTTTGCACTAGACCCGAGTTGTTTTTTAATTTGATTTTTATCATAACTATATACGTTTAAGGGGTACAGTGTGGTGATTTGATATGTTGAATGCTTAAACTACACTGTTTAATGTAACCATCACCTCACTTATTTTTTTGTGGTAAGACATTTATAATATAGTCTTAGTTGTTTTGAAACGTACCCTTGCATTGTGCTCATTAGGTGAGATCCCACCAAATATCCTCCCTCCACTTACCTTCCCCCCTTCCCTCCCCTCTCCCTCTCTCCCTTCCTTCTTTCTGGGCTATATTTGTGTTTTATCATTTGTATGAATGTGTTAAGTGAGTACATATTGGTTTCATAATAGTATTGAGTACAGTGGATACTTTTTTTCCCATTCTTAAGATACTTTACTAAGAAGAACAGCCTATTTCTTTCCTTTCTCTAATGTTTTATGTTCTAGAAGTATAAAATGTTTCCACTTACACATATACTTCTGTTTCTTACTTACTTTGCATATATTGTTTTCTACCTAGAATGCCTTTTCCCTCTTATATACCTCTTCTTTTCACCTGGTTAATCTTTACTCAACTCAAGGGCACTTCCTTCAGCAAACCTCCTGACATTCCGGGTAGGGTAAAGTACCCCTTTTCAATATTCCCATAATATTCCGTGTAAATCTCTAACACTGGTATTTATACTTTGTTTTTTAATTACGTGTATATGTATCTTGCTGTTAGACCTCAGTATCTTTGTATCTTTGCCATCTTGAGTGCCTAGCACATAACAGGCACACAAAAAGTATTATTAAATGAGAGACCATGAAGTATAAACTTCATAGATGAAGGGTTTAACTCTGACTTTCTTTTGGATTTGATCAATGTAAGAAAGACTTACAATGGAGATTCTTAACCAGGGATATTCTCTTTGGGAAGCTTTTCAAAATATGCCTGCTTAGGTCCCTTCTCTTTTCTTCAGGGAATTTGGGATGGGGAAGGGCATGGGCTCCAGGCATGTGTATTTTTATGATGGTTTTCAGGAAATAAATGTGCATGTGTTTGGTAGGAGTGCAAAATGCCAGTACCTGTGGAAGAGAAACTGGTAGTATCTACCAGAATCGTAGATGCATTTCACTCCCTGACCAAGCAGTGCCACTTTAGAATCTATTCTGTGGATAAATTGAACCCAAATAAAGTTATTCATTGAAATATTGTACATAAGCCGGGTGCAGTTGGCTCATGCCTGTAATCCTACCACTCTGGGAGGCCTAGGAGGTAGATGGATTGCCTGAGATCATAGGTTTGAGACCAGCCTGGGCCAGAGTGAGACCCTGTCTCTCAAAATAGCCAGGCGTTGTGGTAGGTACCTGTAGTCCCAGCTACTTGGGAGGCTGAGACAAGAGGATCACTTGAGCCCAATAGTTTGAGGTTGCTGTGAGCTATGATACCATGGCACTCTACTGAGGGTGACAAAATGAGACTCTGTGTCAAAAAGAAGGAAGAAAATATTGTACATAATAGCAAAACATTGGAAATAACCCAGGGTCCAGCAATTAAGTATTATTTGTAGAAATTATAGCACATTTACATAAAAGAATACTATGATAAAGTAAAAAGGAAAGAGAAAGATGCTGTTTTGTGTTAATGAGAAGGCAGCTGCTATTTATTTAGTTTAGTTGAGAGAATCCATACTATGCCTATAGATTGATGGTGCCTTAGGAATCTGACTTTAGAGTCTTTAGTAGTGCTTTTATTGGTCAAAATAAATAAATTAAGAGATTCTCATACTCCGTATACATTTCAGGTGAAGGGAAGAAATATAGTTGATAAAACGTTTCTTTCCTGCAGGGAAGTAGAAAAACCTAACATTTTCAAATTATTGTCTCGTACTGACTTGAGATCTCTGGAGAGGGTAACTACTGTATTAGTGTTTGTTCTCATTTATAGCGTGTAGATTTCTGCTTCCTTGGAGGTCTGTTAAAAACAAATGTCATTAGAGACCTAGGTAGGTAATCATCCTTAATGGAAAAATATTGGCAAACAAATCTATTTTAGTCTCCAGGGGTTTAAATTATTAGTCATTCTTCCATGCTTAAGAGTTTGACATGAAAACTATTAGTTTTTAAGTTTTCGATGTAGAGATACCTAAAATAGAAGGCATTTCTCTTCATTAAACCCAATATGAAAATGCATATAAAACAAATTACTGCCCAATTTGTTTTGCTGCTCTAGATCTCTTTCCTAAACATGTCTCTGGAGCCCTCTGCCAGCAACTGCTTAGTAACAGCAGCACCGTATTAGATAAACACAACACCTATGGGAGGCTGAGGCAAGAGAACCACTTATGCCCAAGAGTTTGAAGTTGCTGTGAGCTGTGACGTCACAGCACTCTACCATGGGTGACATAGTGAGAGACTTTATCTCAAAAAAAAAAAAAAAGAAGAAGAAGAAGAAAGAAAGAAAAATACAACACCTTTCTTTTTCTTTTTTTAGCCTGGGCTGGGTTTGAACCCGCCACCTCCGGCATATGGGGCCAGTGCTTTTGAGCCACAGGCGCAGCCCAAACACAGCACCTTTCTTATGTAAAATAAAATCTTTGGCCTGTAATCCTAGCAACTCTGGAAAGCTAAGCCTGTTGGATTCCTCTGAGGTCAGGAGTTTGAGACCAATCTGAGCAACAGCCAGACCCCCATCTTTACAAAATATTGAAAAATGAGCCAGGTGTGGTAGCAAGCACCTGTAGTCCCAGCTATTCAGGGGGCTGAAGCAGGAGGATTGCTTGAGTCCAGGAGTTAAGCTATGATGATGCCACTGCACTCTAGCCATCTAACAGTAAGACTCTGTCTCAAAAATAAATACAATTTAAAAAACACCTTTGGGACAGCGTAGAAGCAAGCGTAAGGGAACAGTGATCTTAAAAATAAAATTTGATTATATTGTGCTCTTTAGGAGATGGTTATAAATTAATGATCTTCAGACCTAATTCTGGACACTTCAGTGGTGTTTTGTGTTTTTGTAAAGACTTGCTTCTCACCTAGTGTTGTATGTATGGTAAGAATATCACCATTCTATTTTATGGATAAGAAAACTGTGGCTCACGTGAATGACAGCTTGCTAACACTCCACTCGTAAAAGGTAGAACCTCAAATAGAAAATAGATTTTCTGACTATTATGTGCAGTTCTTTAACTGTTCATTGCTCCATAGTTCCCTCTTTTTACCATTTGAGGGATATTTCAGAAGTCTTGAAATATTGATTCAGAACTTTGTTTTATCTCTTTGTTTCATACCTTGAGAAACCATTTCAGCAACCAAACTTAAATTGGAAGATAGCAATGGGAATTACCAACTAGGAATGGTTAAATTTTTCTAGTGAAGCAACCAGGTACAACTGCTCGTGTTTGTGCTTAAAATGCAAATATTTCCAGGTGTATGAGGATTGTTGTAAATTTGAATATAAGCACCTGTACTTATTGAAGCATTTGTTTTACTGTCTACCTAAATTTGGTAACCTGTGATTCTGTAAACAAATATATCATGCAGGTATGTAGGATGGTGGGGGAATGTGATGAATATGAAGATTCACATCTTGAGGAAATGAAAGCTCTTAATATTGCTTTCCAAACAAAACTGGCCTCAAAACCAAGAAAGAGTGTTAATTGCAATAAGTTTTGAAAAAGATATCATAAAATGAGCAAAGGAATTGCAGCTCTTTCACCCCTAAGATAAGAATACTACTTTCCCAAATGTGGAAAAACTTCATTTGTTCTCTGAGATAAATCTTTGTGTATATAAGAATTTTCCTCAAAAGAGTAAAGTGAAAAGTAGACAAATTTCAAGCATATTTCATTACTTTCATATAAGTACCATATAAGTACCGCACACTAGCCCATTGCGCAACTGGAGCTCCTATTTCATTACTTTCAAACTCATACAGTAAGC